CAAAATTTGATAATTTTCTTCTCAATGAGAAAAATCAGGCTCAGAGAGGTGAAGCAATTTGTTCAGGGTTGTCCAGCTGGTCAGCAGCAGAATGAGCACTGCAACTGAGGTGTGTGATGTGACTTTCCTTAGCTCAGGCTTCTGAGCCCCTGAGTGGGGGCTTCTTAGAGGTCCTGGCCCCTCACTCAGCATGGACCTGCCATCCTCTGCTCATCTCTTTGCAGGCACAACTGTACCTACCCCTTTCCCTAAGCGGGGGCCCCTGGTTGCTTTGTCTCTGGGCCTCCTCTTGACAGCTGTGAGGAGGGGGACTGGCGCTGGCCCCAGCTGGAGCCCTGGCATTGAGCCCCCAGACACTCTCTGGTTACACCGTGACAAATCTGTTCCCCAAGTCCCAGCTCCACAGGATTTAGGGCAGGGCCTGTCACCTGCAGGCAGCCGGGCATGGCTGTGAGAAGGACCTGGGCCAGGGCTGGAGTCTAGGTTCTGAGAGGGGTGGGGAGGGCATATGAAGGAGGGGAGAGAGGCCTCCAGAAAGCAGTCCTGCTGCTGGACCCAGTCTTTACATGGGTCCTCCGAGGCTGGCCATGTGCCTTTACTCTGAGAGAGGTCAAATGAGCTATCTAAAGTCCCATGGCCAGGTCTGTCACAGCTGGACTTGGATCCACGGTGACTTCTTTTGGGGGGGTCTGTCCCCTCCCATCTTTATTTTTTTATTGCTGTGCTGGTGATTGAACCCAGGGGCACTGTACTAGTGGGCCATATCCCCAGACCTTTTTATATTTTTATTTTGAGACAGGGCCTTGCTGAATTCCCAGGTTGATCTTACACTTACGATCCTGCTGCTGAGGCCTCTCAAGTAGCTGGGATTAGACCCACTGGGCCAGGCTGGCTTTCTTTGTCTTTCCCCCTTTTTTTCCAGTGCTGGGAATTGGACCCAGGGGCGTGCGCATGCCGGGTAAGCACTCTACCACTGAGCTACGCCCCAGCCCCCGGCTTTTGTTTTTGAGATGGTCTTGCTATGTTGCCTAGGCTGGTCTCAAGCTCCTGGGCTCAAGCCATCCTCCTGCCTCAGCCTTCTGAGGAGCTGGGACATGGACGTGCACTGCCACACCTGGCTCAGTCCCTTTCTCCTGTCATGTCGGGAGGCCTGACACCCTTTGTGGCCTCCCTGGAGAGCCTCTCTCCAGGGAGGGGCAGAGCGTGCTCTGTATTGGCTCAGGCCCTGGGATGGCCTCTGACCAATGCCCTGGTGATTCTGTTTGTCTCTGGGGTCATGCAGGTGGCATTCCTGATCCTAAGTTTTCTCACCTGTCACAAGATGACAATGTGTATTATTTTCTCATCCCTCAGACTGAAAAAGTGAAATCCACAGTTAGGGGATCAACACTCTTTTCTTTGGTACTAGGGATTGAACCCACGGCACTTAACGCCTAAACCACACACCGCAGCCCTATTTATTTATTTATTGGTGGTGCTGGGATTAAACCCAGGGCCTTGTGCATGCCAGGCAAACACTCTACCAACTGGGCTATATCCCCAGCCCAGCCCTTTTTAATTTTTGAGACAGGGTCTTGCTAAGTTGCTTTGAGCCTTGCTAAGTTGCTGAAGCTGGCCTTGAACTTGAAATCCTCCTTCCTCAGCTTCCCTGAGTCACTGGATTTTAGGCGTGTGCCACCTTGCCTTGCCTGGGTTCCACAGCAATGCCTCTTTCCTGCTGCTCCTGACTGGGGAAAGAGACCCTGCCTTTTTCAAGAGTCGGACTGACCAAGGTTCTCCTGGGGATGGCTTCTCCTGAGCACCTCAGAGCAGCCAGTTGACCCTCTGTGCCAGTCTCTCCTGGATGAATCATCTCCTGTGAGGCAGGCCAAATAGGTGTTTCTGGGGAGCTTCAGGCTCCACCCCACAGGGTGTGGTCTGGAACTACCTTGGTGGGGAAGGGAGAAAGAGAGAACCTACATTCTGGAGGGTGGGTGTTTTCACTTGAGGTAGGATTGGCAGGAGGAAGAGCTGATTTCACTGCCGCTGGTCCAATGGGCAGAATTTACTGGCCATTTCTCCAACCCAGGTGTGCAGGACCGGCCTCCTTCCTGGTGGCCAGAGACTGGAGGAGGGCACTGAGCCCACTCTCATCTGTCAAGAAGGTCTGAAGGCAGAGTCCAGCAGTCTCACCAGGGACCCCAGCCCTCCAAGTGCCAGGAAGAGGTGGGGATTCCAAGCATCATTTTAGCATCATTGCTGTATGAGAATGCAGCTGGCGAACAGGGGACCTGGCTCACGGGGAGAGGAAGCTTCTGATGGTACAGGCAACACCAAAAGGCTGCAGCGGATGACATTGCAGGGTGCTCGGGTGTCCATCATGGCCCTCCATATTCAGGGACCAGCAGTGGCCATCCCCACAGCCCAGTGGCCTTGGCCTTCAGACTCAGACCTCAGACTGTCCCCATGTTAATTCCCCATCCTGGCCTCGTGCCATCTCCCACTCCGCTGAGGTCCTGCTTGCTCTAAGTCCCCTTTCAATTCTTTATTCCCAGGAGATGGCTGCTGCCCGGTCACACTTGAGGGTCGTAGGAATTTCCTTTTCCCTGTTAGGAGTGGATATATCCCTCTCCTTCCTGGTTCAGCCCATGTAGGAGGGGACTCTTTCATGGGCTTTCCTGAGACCCAGGGTGCCAAGGGAACCCCCCTAGAGGCCAGGCCTGAAAGAGTCACAGAACCCTTTCCTTGGTCTGTGTACCCAGTGACTGTGGGGCCTGGACACAGCCTCGCTCTGCTCTCTCTATGAAGCTAGAGGCTAAGAGGCCTGACCCTCTACCTCATAGCCTCAGGTGGCCTGGGCTGATCCTCCTGCCTGTTTTGTCCCAGAGCCCCTGGCCCTGGTCACTGCCTCTGGCCTGGGTTGCACTTTAGCCTCGTGTCTCACTCGTGAGTCCTTCAGTGCAAAAAGCCTTTTCTCTGGCTATAGAAGTCGCTCTGGTTCGGAACTTTGCAGTCACCTCTTTGGACCCCTGGCCTGGAGGCTGGCTCTGGGCTCGGCGGCTCCAGCCTCCTTTCCCCCTTGCCCCCGACTTCCGTCCATTTCCTTTGCCTGGATCAGGCATAAATTCTGTGAAGTGCTTAGCACAGTGCCTGGCACCCAGTCAATATGTAATTAGTGGTTGCTATTTTTGTCATTGGCTATTCAATACATAGAAATTAATAGTGGTGGTGATGAAGTTGCTCATAATAGTGATGTTGCTGCTGCTGCTGATTGGTGATGATGACGATGACGACGACAATGATGTTGGTGATAATGTTAGCACTTCTCCCCTCCCTGAACGATTGGATTCTTCACCCAAGTGCCTCTTTGGACCAAATTACATCTGTGGCCCTATTACCATAATATCAATTCTATCTTAACATATGCCTTTACTTAAATTATCTACATTGACATCCCCATTCCTTTGTCTCTGTTGATAGATGCATAACAGGAGGCTCAGAGAAGGTTAGTGAAATGCTCAAGGTCACACAGCTCATTGATGATGGAGGTGAGATAGGAATCCTGGCTTCCTGATTCCCTATACAGCTCTGTGTGGCCTGGAGGAGGATCCTGCCTGGGATCATTTCATGCCCCTTGCATTCTCCATCTCTCAGTGCCTCACCAGAGGAAGACCATCCAGATCAAACTTGTATTTGCCATTTCCTTCCTCCCTCCCTTCATCCCTTCCTTCTATCCTTCCCTCCCTCCTTCCTTCTCTCTCTCTTTCTTTTTCAGGGATTAAACCCAGGGGCACTTAACCTCTGAGCACATCCCCAGCCCTTTTTCTTTTTTATTTTGAGACAAGGTCTCACTGAGTTGCTTAGGGCCTTGGTAAATTGTTGAGGCTGGCTTTGAACTCCTGATCCTCCTGCCTCAGCCTCTTGAGCAGCTGGGATTACAGGTGGGCGCCACTGCACCTGGCTCAGTTTGCCATTTAATTAGCAGGACTCTCAAACCCTATGAGCCCCAGGGTCTCATCTGGAAAATGGGAATAAGAACAGGATGGTTGTGAAGGGTTGATGAGGTAATGCACATCCCAGTCCTTAGCGCCTGCACATAGTGCTTACTGAGGCTTGCTTTTGTAGATGACTTGTGTCTGCTTCTTAGGCAGATATGCCTGTTGGCCTCTCTGACCCCTGCCCTCAGCTCTCCTTGGTACCTTTACATGATCCACATGCCCCAACCTGGTCCCAGTGTGTGACCCCCTTGGGGAGGGTTGAGGACAGTTACTTTCCTCCTGGCCTGTGATGCTCCCTCCATCTGGAATGCTCTCCCCAGTGTCACCAGCCCCTCCCCACCACCTCCCACCCAGCCCTTCACACCTTGAGTTGTCATTAGGAGGGAGGAGGAACCCCTCTAAAGTCAGGCCCAGCTGCAGAGTGTTAAGGGGATTTCACGCACATTCCTTGGGGGAGAGGAACTATCTCCCAGTCCTAAGTGTCCCCACCTCAAGCCTGCAGGAGGGAGGGGAATGAGCCAGGGTTTCGCTCAGCCAGGTATAGAGAGGACTGGGGGACTTGGGGAGGCCATTTCTCTGCCATGTGCCCATCTCTCTCATCCTATTGGGCAAAACCCTGGTCCTGCTCCTCTGCCAGCTCCTGACTCTCCCCTCCCAGCTGGTCCCACAGAGTGCTTCCTTGAATGGAGGAAGAAGATCACATCAGAGAAGGAAGACTATCTGTCCCATTTTCCGCTTTCCAGCAGTGTGACCTTCATAGGCTGAGCCTCAGTTTTTCCTGTGTCAAATGGAGAGATGGTAGAAGTAAATGTGGGGAAGCACGTGGATTCCCTGGCGTGGAGTGAGCTCTGTGCGTCACAAGAGAGGGAGGAGCAGGAGGACTTACTAGTCCTGAAAAGCAGAGTGTATGGGGGCAGCAGGAGGTTTTGCATTTGCTGTATGGTGGTGGTGGTGGGCCAGCGGCCTGTGAGTTCCAGATTCTTCTACTACCTGAAAGATCCTCTTACCTTACCCGCCCTGCAGGGCCTCCTGGAGCTACCATCTTGTGCCCGGCTGGATTCTGGGCAGAGTAAAGGGCCCAAGCAAAGGAGCTCAGAACCAAACCTCACTGACCTAGGGTCAGAGTCACCGAGGAGCTGCCGAAACAAGTTCTAGGCCCAGGCCCAGGGAGCTGCCTTGGTAAGGAGGCCTTGGGTGGGTGTGGGGTCTTTGCAAGTTCCTTCCCTCCCTCAATGGTGGCACTGGAGTCTGTGAAGCTATGTTGTTCCCTGAACTCCCGTTCAGGGGGCCTGCGTGGGTCTGAGGAGGAGCCTTTCTCATGCCTGGTGGGAGCTTTTACTTCCCTGGGCGCCTTCTTGGGGGACCAAGGCTGGGGCTAAGAAGGCCCTGGTGAGTGACAACAGCATTACCACAGATCCAGCTCCTCCCTGTGGAGCGATCTGTGCAGTCAGGAAAGTGAGTGAGTTCACTCCCTAGGCCTGGGAGCTACAACAGCAAATGGCTTCAGAAGTAGGTTCCTCCCCATTGGGCCAGCCCTGGAGCTGGCCTACGTTTGGGGAGGAGTGAAAGAGTTGGGTGGGGGAAGGAACCGCAGTCTGCAGCCCGTCACCCCACCTCAACTTACACTCTGCCCCAGGTCTCTTCTCTGAGCCCTTGCTCTGTATTTTGGGGGCCCATCACTCCCTCAATCTCCCGGGGCTCAAGGAGACTCACTCACACCATCCAGTACTTTCCTGGACGGTTTGAGAGGTGGCCTGGGAAGGGCTCTACCTCTAGATCTTTCAAGCTCTTCCTTTGGTCCCCCTTTCTATAGGATCTGGCTCTTGGGCAGGGTGGTGTGTGTCTCAAACCCCAGCTCAGCCCTGCCCTCTCAATCTGAGCTGCCCTCACTTCCTTCTGTGATGGTCATTCATAGCCAACAGGAACATTCTGTTTCACTTTACTTCATCTGAGACCAAAGGAGCACTTTTCAAAATGAATGTTAACGGGAAAGTAGGGAAACCAGGAAATACAAACACAGCAATGGCAGAGTTCCTGGAGAATCGATTTCTTTCTCTCTTTTTGGTACTAGGGATTGAACCCAGGGACACTTAACCACTGAGTCACATCCCCAGCCCCTTTTGAATTTATTATCTGGAGACGGAATCTTGCTAAGTCGATGGGGGGGTCTCACTAAGTTGCAGAGGCTGGCTTCGTACTTTGAGACCTTCCTGCCTCAGCCTCTGGAAAGGCTGGAATTACCACATGCGCCACCTCTAGCAGCTCTATTTCTTCTCTTGATGTGCTCTACCACGGAGGTCCATGCTTTCTAAAACCTTTACAAGGACAGTGCTGCCTGTGGAGAAGTAGGCTTCCTGGAAGAAGTGGGGTTCCTGCCCCTGGAGGTATTCTAAGCAGGTCCCTAAGGTCTCCTTGGTGGAATGACCTTAAAAAGTCAAAATGATGATCCTTTAATATGGGTATAGAGCTTCCCAGTTTGCAAATAGCTTTCACTTGACCCTCTTCATTGCAATCCTAGGAAATAGGCAAAGCAAGGGTCCCAAACAGATGAGAAAACAGATGTGAGAGAGAAGTGGTTTCTCCAGAGTCATCGAGGTAGTGATCAAGCTCACAGAGAAGCACAGGAGGATCTGGGACCACTGACCCAGAGCTGCTCTGCCTTCAGGGCGCCCACGTTACTTGTCTTTCTCTTCCTGTGGAGAAGCCCCTCCCCACCATCTAGCCTCTTGGTCAGGGTACCTTCTTCTTCCAGGAAGGCCACCTCTGCAGAGTACCTCTGCACAGTACATGGGCAGGTGATTCAGGAGGTCACAGTGGGCAGTGTGGAAGCGTGACCCTCCCACAGTAGGACAGACCTGAGCTCTCTCCAGGTTATCAAGAGAAGCTGGGCAGCGTGGGGACCTGGAAAGCTTTTTAATTCCCAAGACCAAGAGCGGGAAGCCTAGAATGTCTGCATTCCTGGAAATGATAGCTGTTCAGTCCAGCTGCTGTCCATCGGGACAGGGGGCTTTCTGTCGCCCTACACTGTGGCCTCAGGTCCTGGTGGAAATCTTCCACATCAAGTATATATGGAGAGGAATCTCGACACGGCCAGAAGTCATTGAAACGAGAGGAAGTTTAGACAGGTGAACACTTACGTCCAAGTGCAATATAAGCCCAGCACTGTGGCACATGCTGTTTGGGAGGCTGGGAGGATTGCAAGTTCAAAGCCAGCCTCAGCAACTCAGCAAAGCCCTAAGCAATGTAGTGAGACCCTGTCTCTAAATAAAATATAAAAAGGGCTGGGCTGGGGATGTGGTTCAGTGGTTGAGTGCCCCTGGGTTCAATCCCCAGTATCTCCCCCCCCCCAATCCTATGGGGTTTCTCTGGGCTTGCCAAAGTAGAAGGTGTGAGTCCACTCTCCCCAGGAGGAATTCTGGAGTGTTTGGCGTTTAGGGGGATATGGATGCAAAGACTTGAGAAATGCGGGGAATTTCAGGACTTGAATATCTCTTGGGAGGCAATAAGAAGAGGGATGGATGGTTTAGTTCTGGAAAGTTCTGTGGATGGTACCATGGAAAGCCTCAGAGAATGTTATTTATTTATTTATTTATTTATTTTGTATTGGGATTGAACCTAGGGGTACTCTACCACTGAGCTACATTCCCAGCCCTTTTATTGTTTTTTTTTTCTGACAGAGTCTCGCTCAGTTCCTGAGGCTGGATTTGAACCTGTGATTTTCCTGCCTCAGCCCTTCGAGTCACTGGGATTACAGGCGTGCGCCACCAGGCCTGGCCCACCGGTTCATTTGTTTACCCTCTTCCCCAATTTGAGGGGGAAAACATTAAGAAGAGAACCGGGGACAGACTTGGGACTGGGTCTGTCTTGGGGGACAAAAGCTGGATAAGGTCTGGTTGGGACTGGGGTGGGCATGGGGCTGGGTGTGGTGGTGTGGAGCTGTGTGTATGGTGTCTCATGCGCCCCTCACTGCAGCCCGGGAAGAGGAGTCTCGTCTTTATACCACATGCCAAGAGGAGTTTCCTCTTTATACCACAAATCACCAAGCTCATCAGAGGTCCACGCAGTGATTGAACGTGGGCCTCTATGGCCCCCAGATTGGCCCACCTCCCTGTGTCTCTGTGTTAGGACTCTGCTTTGAGATTCCCCAACACTATTTCTGACAGGATGGTGTATGTTTAACACATTTAGTAATTTACAAGTCAATGGAAAACTGTGAACCATGGTGGTATTTTGTTTTAAAAATGATATTTGATATGGATTATTAGAAATTCTAGCTCAAATCTTTATTGAAAGTTTCTGAGGGAGGAAGGGAAAAAGGGAGGGCAAATCAGTTAATAAAATAGTATGTGAATGAACAAAGGAACATGCTTGTTTCAAGAAAATTCCATGAGGGCTTAAGTTCTGTTATGGTCTGAATTGTCCATAAAATTATTGTGTTGAAATCCTAACCCTGGTTCCTCAAAATGTCTATTTTGTTTCCTTGTCGTGGGAGGTTGGCTCCCGTGCAAAGAGCACTTGGCTGGGAGTCAGAAGGTCTGGGTCCAAGTTCTGAGTCTATCACTCAACCCTGTGTGACTGTGGACAAGCCGAGGACATCCCGAGCCTCAGGGTGATCGCCAGCTACCTAGGGTTGGGCAAACCCACCTCTTGCTTACCTCCCCAGGGGATTAAGAAGTTGTAGGGTGCCAGGGTCCCCTTCCTGCAGCTCAAGGGACCTGGCCTGTTCTTGTTGATGCTTGCTACAAACATATGTGGAGATCTTTGCCCTTTCCCAGTGCTGGGTATTCTACAATTTTCCACATCAGTTCCATTGGACGAAATCATCTCTGATGCTATCTTTTCCAGGAAACCTTTCTCCATGAGCCCTGCCTACCTCTGATGACTCAATGTGATATCAAATATTATTCGCACAAGCTCAGGTTTTACTGGCCCAGAGCACGTGCTGATTTGTGAGTGAACTGAAACTTGTATGGGGCCCAGGCTCCCCGCAGGCGTAAGGCTGGTATGGTTCTCTCTCCTGGACTTCTGCTCACGGATGCCATGGTGTGGATCTGTCCCTTAGAGTCTCTATGGTGGTAGATCAGAGAAAGCAGGGTGGGAAAGTGGTCAGAGGCCTGGGCTCTGGGGCCAGACTGCCTGGCTTTGAAGCCCAGCTCTGCACCAGCTGACTCTGTGACCCTGGGTTTCTAGGTTCTTCATTTCCCTGTCTTAGGGATGATGTAATAATAACACCTCTCTCCCAGGACTGAAGTGAGGATTTAATATCATAAAGCACTTTGAGCAGAGCCTGGCACTTAGTGAATGATATTATAAGTCTTAGCTATTATTAAAATATCTTGAGTCACTTTATGATTTCCAAATATTATATAAATGTAAAGAATTTTTACTGTCATGAGGCTCTTGAGTCTCAGGTTTTTTCATTTGAGTGTTGGGGAAAATGATCTCTGAGGTTTCATCCGGTTCTAGTGGTTTGTACAGCCGGCCTCTGTATCTGTGGGCTCCACAGCCACAGATTCACCAACTCCTGATTGAAAACATTTAGAAAAAAATTGTGTTATACTGAACATGTACCATATTTTTTTCTTGTCATTATTCTCTAAACAATACAGTGTAATGACATAGCATTTATATTATATTACGTATTATGAGTAATCTAGAGATGATTAAAGCCTATGGGAGGATATACATAGGTATATGCAGTCATTACACCATTTTATCCAAGAGATTTGCACATCTGTGGATTTGGTAGCAGAGGGGGGTCCTGTAACTAATCCTCTGCAGATACTAAGGAATGACTGTAATTTTAAAATTGGTAGATAGATCCTTGTTTGGGATTTGCGTGTCTTGAGCTGTAGGGACAAAAGAATAAGGGACAAGGCAGGACAAGCCGTGGGTCCAGACTTTGGAAGGGAGAGCTGGTCTCTAAGAGGTGGCGGCAGCAGTCATTGGAGGAAGCCTTCCTACTTGGGCAGTCCCTGATGCCATCTTTATCCCAAGCCTGCAGGGAGGCTGGGACCAGCCAGGTGGGACCTCCAAGTGCCATTGTGGTTGGGGTTTTCTCCTAATAGAATGTCATGGAAGGAACCTAGACTGAATAGATGATACCTTCTCTGGAGGAAAACCCTAGAAACAAATCGCGGGCACAATTTTCTTGGGGTCTGTCCCCAAGCTCCCCTGCTGCTGCATTCCTTAGTGTTGGTCAGAGGAGATGTGGGAGCCCAGTCCCCCCGGGCGTCTCTCTGGGAGACCCTTCTTTGCTCATCTTTGGATCGTTTGTCTTGTTAGCAGGGTGGATCCTTCACTGCTCTGCAGAGGAGAGCAGAGTGGGGGGCTTTCACCAGAGAGGGGAGGTGACAACAGCCCGACAGGGCTGCTGTCCCTGTCTTCCACACTCTCACTGTTGCTGCTGCAGACTGGACTCCTCTGAAAGTTGGCCCCGGACACTGTCACCCCAGGCACCTAGGCTCAGCATCCATCGCAGCAGAGGCCACAGAATGGGATGTGGTGATTTGTCACTGTCATGGCCTCTGTGGAGCTCAGGGACCTGCTATCCCAGCCCTGCTGCTCTGTCTCCAGGAGAGGCCATCAGGCTATCAATTCCCCAGCTTTTTGTTTCACATGCAGAGGGGGCATGACCCAGGCCCCTCCGTCATGGAATCAGAGCAGTAAAGGGCTTTGCTCAAGGTCACTTGGTGAGAAGTGCCAGAGTTAAAAGCAGAGCCCAGCCTCTAAACCACTCCCAGTCCAGGCCTCTCTCCAGTAAGATCCCTACCGGGCCCAGACTTGACTGCCTGCCCTTCCCCCAACCCGCTGCAGTCATCAATGAAACTGCACCAGGTGTAGTTCTCTGTCCCTGCCCTTCTTCTTCTGAATCCCCCAGGAAATCTGTGTTATTTAAAAGTTAATGGAGGGATGTGGGAGGTTTCCCAGGGAACCCCACTTGGTATGGTCACCATAGCACCTGAATGCTAAAGCCACTCTGTTTTATGACACAGTGCTTGGTTCTTTTCTTTTCTTTTTTTTTTGTGTGTGTACTAAGGATTGAACCCAGGGCCACTTAACTCCTGAGTCACATCCCCAGTCCTGTTTTAATATTTTATTTAGAGACAGGGTCTTGCTGAGTTGCTTAGGGCCTCGGTAAATTGCTGAGGCTGGCTTTGAACTTGTGATCCTCCAGCTTCAGCCTTGGGAGCTAAAGGGATTGTAGGCATGTGCCACCGTCCTAGGCAGAATGCTTATTTCCTGCTTGCTAGTCCTTCTTTCCTGCTACTTTGGGAATCTCCAAAGAGATTGGAGACTTATCATTCTCCCACCTCAGGTTCTTGGCATCCTGTTCCAGCCTCCCCAAGGCCTCATAGGCCCCTGGAACATGGGCCTGTTCTAGTAGGACCCTAGCAGGGCTGGATGGACACCAACCCCTCCTCCTAAACTCCAGGGAACATATGATAATGGGCTTTCAAACATTCTTTTTTAAAGTCCAGGATTCTTTCAAAACCCCAAATATCCAACAGTCACATGCAAAAGTGCTGGAACTATCATTAGTCATCAGGGAAATGCAAATTAAAGTCACAATAAGATATCACAAAGCCCTCGCCAGAATGGCTGAAACTAAAAGGACAGATGATACCAAGTCTGGACAAGAAAGTCCTCAGCCAGCAGAACTCAAATGCAGCTAGAAGGAAAGTATGTTTTCACAGCCCCTTTAGAAAACGGGTTGCATCTACAAATCCTAATTCTACTCCTGGGTTTGTATCCAATAGAAATGATGGGCCCCAGAATTACATACTGTTGCAAATTTATTCATAATTGATTCAAACTGGAGACAAATCCCACATCCACTCAAGACAGAATAAGTATAACTGTGAGCCAATCCACATGAGGGAGTAATACCCAGCAATGAAAAAGAAACACCCCAGATGAAGCCCACAGACATTATGCTGAGGGAAAGAAACCAGTCACAAAAAAGTACACTTGGTAGGACTCTACTTCTGTGAATTTACAGAGTGGGGGGTCTTGCCTGGTAGGGAATATGAGTGAGCCTGTCTTGATCTGGGGCTGTGACATGAGTGTATACATTTGGAGCTGAACCCTGAAGAGCCATCCACTTTCCTGTTGGTATGGCATTGCCCAATAAGAAAAGCTTAAAAATTAACAATGACAAAGTACCAAAGCCTTACATGGATGCCATGTAAGGAGAAAGCCTGGGGTAGAATCCAGGGCCAAGTGTTCTACCCTTGACCTACACCCCATCTCTTGGTTCCTGGGAGAGTTCTGCAAATGAAGTTTTGGACCATGCACTGGAAATCTCTTTGCTTTGGAATACATATGTCCTCATGTTTCTGCAGCTGTCCCAGTTCCCAATGCATGACAGTAGCCTAGTTCCAGGATCCCAACCAGGGGACACATTCTCCATGCCTATATCCCTCCAACCACTGATGGGTGGTTGTTGGGATGGTACAAACCAGGGAGGAAGAAACCAAGAGGGTGCTTGTCACCATGAAGCCAGGAGATGACACAGAGCTGGAAACTTGCCTCAGGTTTGGCAAGTGTCATAATACCTGGTATCATTCCCCTGACAGGTTGCATTTCCCCACTTAGGGGCAGATACCCAGTAGTGAAAAGTATGGTGAGAAATAATACCATCCTAGCTAAACTTAACTGAGCACCCATTTGGTTCCTGGCATTATACTGAATCCTTTACAAGGAAGTTATTTTCTTTTAATCCTTATGGCAGCTGCCTGTGGTAGGTACCACTCTTACACACTTTACAAATAACCAGCTCTACATAGGAACCATCCTTTTATCCATCCCAGCAGTCTATTCACATGGAGTGGCAAATAAAACTCAGGGAAGGCAAGCAATTTGCCTAAAGCCCACACAGGTGAGGAGTGGTGGGACTGGGGATTGAATCATGGTCAGTGTGACTCTACAGTCCTGTCCCTTTCCTTTCACTGTGTTTTCATTCAATAAATGACTGCAGTGAGCTGAAGTGGTGATAGAATCAACACCCAAAAGGAACACAACAGGCTGAAATGTTTACCTCAATCATTAAGATAAAGCAGAGTAGAGATACATAAAAAGTCATCCAATTTGGGGGAAAATAGGCAGCCCACGCACAAGGCGAGTGAGTCCAGTTTAGAGGAAGCATGTGTGGAAATGACTCAGAGGTTCACCAGCCTGCCCATCTATCCATCCATCCATCCATCCATCCATCCCCATCTATCCAGAAACTTAACCATTAGGAGTAAGACCCTCTGGGTTCCATGCCAACCTCCTGGAGTCAGCTAGGTTGGCTGTGCCCACCATATGAGAGAGGGCAGGCCAAGGTCAGGAAGGACACACAGATATCTCCTCCCAAGACCAGTTGTAAGGAACAGCATTTTTAACCTCTGGATCATTGGAAAGGCAGAGAAAAGGTAATTTTTTTTTTTTAAGGAACACCTGGAAT